CGACCGGTCTCGCCGCCGCCGCCGGGAGCGGAGGGTCCCGGGCCCCGCGCAAGCGGGGCGGGGCGGTCCGCTCGACCGAACTTCGGTGGAGATTTCCGTGTTGTTTTCTGATTTTCATCATCCAATAAGATAAACTTGAAGACCGAGGTTTAAACTTGGTGCCCCTGAATCCTCAAACACTCACGAAAACCCAAGTTTTGGGCCTACCAAGGAGGCTAGTATTTCGGAGTGTATATAAAATCTATTTGTCTTTTATATACACACCGGGAGTGTATATAGCCACGGCGAACTTATAAATAGCCACGACCACAAAATTATTTTCCCGGGTTCATAATTTAGTGCGTAATAACCGTACATACCATACTGCTGAAGTCTGAAGTGTACAAAAGGTCAGTGAGACGCTCTTCTTCCTGGTTTACAGTCCAGAGATAGATTTGTAGATAGATGACTGTATCAAGATATCAATAAAAAATACTCAACCCCCTCTGTCCTGCTGTCCTGATAATCACCCCCTCTGTCCCAATACCCAACCCCCTGTCCTGCTACTCACCGTCTGTCCTGCTGTCCCGATACTCAACCCCTCTGTCTTGCTGTGTCCTGATACTCACCCCGTCCTGCTGTCCTGATACTCACCCCGTCCTGCTGTCCTGATACTCACCCCGTCCTGCTGTCCTGATACCCCGTCCTGCTGTCCTGATACCCACCCCGTCCTGCCGTCCTGATACTCACCCTCTGTCCTGCTGTCCCGATACTCAACCCCCTGTCCTGCTGTCCCGATACTCAACCCCCTGTCCTGCTGTCCCGATACCCAACCCCTCTGTCCTGCTGTCCTGCTACTCACCATCTGTCCTGCTGTCCCGATACTCAACCCCTCTGTCTTGCTGTCCTGATACCCCATCCTGCTGTCCTGATACTCACCCCGTCCTGCTGTCCTGATACTCACCCCATCCTGCTGTCCTGATACTCACCCCGTCCTGCTGTCCTGATACTCATCCTGTCCTGCTACATCCTGATACTCACCCCGTCCTGCTACATCCTGATACTCACCCCGTCCTGCTACATCCTGATACTCACCCCGTCCTGCTACATCCTGATACTCACCCCGTCCTGCTGTCCTGATAGTCACCCCGTCCTGCTACATCCTGATACTCACCCCGTCCTGCTACATCCTGATACTCACCCCGTCCTGCTACATCCTGATACTCACCCCGTCCTGCTACATCCTGATACTCACCCCGTCCTGCTGTCCTGATACTCACCCCGTCCTGCTACATCCTGATACTCACCCCCTCTGTGACTGTCCTGATACTCACCCCCTCTGTGACTGTCCTGATACTCAACCCTTCTGTCCAGATAAATCTCACCCCCCTCTGTCCTGCTGTCCTGATACCCTGTACTGGCCATATACATGTACTACCTGCAGTATTGAATCTGCCTGATTCCTTCTTTGTTTTTTTTTCAGGAAGCAGCTAAAGACCAGAGCAGGACAGAATCCAGACTGACATCTGCACACAGTCCTACTGATAATGGAGCCTGGAGGTAAGGTTTGTTTGGGCTGTTCAAATTAAAAAAAAACGTGACAGGCAGTAGTTTCTAGTTGCACTTTTTCAAGCCTAGGGCCCCATTCCCACTAGGATAGAATTGGATTGAGCCGAATTGATTTGCTTTGATCCAGCTTTGAGCTGGCATGGATTTGGACAAATTAGTGGCCAGGAATTGGGCCAAGGTGATACTGACTGTTGCCAGGACCACTACTAGTACTTATTAAGGCTAGCTCCCAGCATATAGGCTCCTGAGGGTCAACATGACCCCAAGGATTTTTATCACAGATTCCCCTCAGTTAGCCTGGGTGCCAGATCTAGACTGTTACCAGGGCCAATACACAGCTCCTTGGCTCCTGACCCCAAGGAAATTTTACTATTACTAGTATTAGCACCCTTCAGTTCGTAAACCCTGGCCCTGGCAATAGGCTGGCACCCAGGCTACATTTTTTCCGGCTTGTTTCCTTTTTCCCTTTCTTGCTCCTTGGAGAAACGTGTGTGTGAGAAATCAGGAGGATAGGTGGATGTTATTTCACATTATGACTTTATTTTTCTTGAGATCCTGACTGTTTGCTTCTTATGCATTCTAAGATACAGATCCACCCATGATCTCCGAACCGCCACTGGACCCTGAAGGGGACGCGGACAAGGAGCGACCGTTCAAGTGTCGCTTCTGTAACTACGCCGCCACACAGCGAACCCACCTCCGCTGCCACGAGCGCACGCACACCGGAGAGAAGCCGTACAAGTGCGACGTTTGCGGGTACGCGGCCGCCCAGAAGACCAACCTGAACTCGCACAAGCGCGTGCACAGCGGCGAGCGGCCGTACAAGTGTAAGATGTGCCCGTACGCCGCCATACAGCGCTCCAACCTCACCAGCCACTACCGCGCCAAACACGGCGTACAGAAGCCCACCATCTACATCGAGCACGACAGCCCTCCCAGAATGCACCTGGAGCAACAAGATGGCGACACGTTCTCAGCCATCGCCGCTGCCCACGGTATAGAACAAGTCCCGGGTTTTACCAACGCCGCGTTTTCACCATACGCCAACCACGGCGATCACTCAACCGGACCACCTATGACTAGAACTCCCAGTCTTCATGTAGGTATGAATGGTAACCACTTTGAAGTACCAGTCAGTATTAACAGCCACACAGTCAGACAATCTGAAACAGCTTCTTCCACAACTAGCTCGTCCGCGCATGGAGAAGAAATCATGGATCTGACCTGTATCAAAAAGGAGGAGGAGGCTGTCATTGTCTTAGAAGGATCGCAGACTTCCCAACTGCCAGACCACAACAAAGGCGAGGCATCTCCAGGTCAAATGTCTTCAGGAAACGTAAGAAAGAGACAAGATGATGAGAGTCCAGGTGCAAATGCTCACTCCAATGATACACAGAGGAGAATGTTTGACGGTCAAAGCAAAGACTGGAATGCCTCAAACCCTAACCACAACCAACAAAGTCACGAAACAAGTGTACAGAGAAATGAGGAAAGCAGCGCTAGCCCAAGTCACCAAGTACAAAGAAACTACTCTTACCCAGGCAGTGTTGGAAACACGTGCACAGACAATGCATGGACAGAAAATCAGCGGTTGGTACAAGAAAATTCGCATGGTGAAGCCAGTCAGCCTTCCGAAGAACATCTTTCCACAGATTCTGCAGCACCGCAGTTTCAAAGACAAGCTCCTTTGCAAAGAAACAGTCCCAGCTCGAATGCCCATAGGCATGTGTGTAGGTTCTGTGATATCTCATTTGGTGACTACTTAATGTATACTGTACATAGGGGGTTTCATACGTATGGGGACCCCATGAGGTGTAACATGTGTGGAGTGAAGTACAGAATTCCGCTGGAGTTTTTCGTTCACACGCATTCAGGGGTGCATGGGAGCACTGCTGATCAGTGATACATTCCAAATTATTGTTTCTTAACCCTAGGCCACACCAATTTAATTTCATGGTTAACGGATTCAACCGCTTCATTTTTTTCTGATTTGCAAAAAAAATTCAGAATCAACTGCAAAATGCTCATATTTTGCACTGAACAGTTGAAAACAGTCCTTTTCGTCCTAGTTGTTACAGTTATTCCATCTTTTAATGCAGTGGTATCATTAAAAGTTCAAAATTCATTGTTCAAATTTTGAACCAACCTGGTGTGTTGACTTCATGGCTCCTATCATACCATTTTGGGCCATAATAGGATGCCTAGGTCTGTTTTTATTTATTCTTTTTTTTTCGCCTGCCCGCCCATTATTTTTCTAGAAAAATCCGTTAACAAAGAAATTAAATTGGTGTGGCCTTAACACACAGTACTGTCCAAGAACAGGCATGTTTTGGATGTTTTGTTGGGCTTTAATTTTAATTTTCTCAGTTAAGGTAATACTTACTGGCAATTAGTCGAGTAGAAAAGCCTGACAGAAAATAATGTCCAAAACAATCCAAACCTCAGCCTAGGGTAGTAAGGCCACAGCAAGTAAATTTTATGGATGACATCCTCCGCAGACTCCAAATCTAATGCGAGTGGGCCAAAAAAGACAAGACAAGCCAAAAAAACAAGATTCCTACATTTTAAAAGTTTGACTCAATCATTTTACAAATGGTTTTGATTCAGTGAGAACATCACATTATACACAGCCAGTATCACATATCACTGCATCAAAGTAAGAAACAAAACATTAAATCAGAGCCTTGTCTTGTCTCCTCTCTTCATAGTTATCTGCCATCTACCTTCTGGCATGGCAACAGACATCTTTGCCCATTTTTGACATGGTGACCACTGTCAGGCATCAAAATCAGGTGAAAATTAATGCACGCGCTAATGTCATCCATAAAAATTACTTGCTGTGGCCTAATATATATCAGGCTACTCATAACAATGAGGGGTCTACAGCATGCATTTCAAGTCAGGTGTATTATATATATATGGCAAAAGACAGACGCAATAATGTTCATACCAAATTGTATACCGATTAACACCTTTATTATTATTATATTCAGGACTCGAAATACCACCTGCATACTGTGTATTTCTGATGTCTATCTGCACCTAGCTAGTTATAACCTGTACCAGTCCATGAACTGGGTTTATCATATAGATTTTTTAAATTTAATTAATATATATAAACCCAGTACTTAAAAGTGCATGTGGATTTTTATTTTATGCATTGACTGTTACAACCTATTACTAGTATACGTATAAAAGAAATAATCGCAATGGTTTCTGAACAGTTTTTTCTATGATCCATACTTCCTAAATTCGGAGTGGTGCAGGTAAAATTTATTTGGCACAGTTACATTTTGTAATTTTGTGCTTTTAGCCCCATATGTGGAAGTCAGGATGCATAAATGTGTTTCCATAGGTAGTAATAGTTTATAAACAAGTTCAATTTGACTTTTGTCTAATTAATAAAGTCATTATCAATACAGATCTTAAGGTGGGTTGATAAGGCCACACCGATCTAATTTGTTGGTTCTCGGATTTTTTCAGAAAAAATATGATGCGACTGGCCAAAAAAAAAACAGGTCTAGGCATCCTGTTATAGCCCCAAATGCAATGATACAAGCCATGCATGAAGTCAACACATAAGGCTATATTTAAACAATGAATTTTGAAGTTTTAATCAAACCACTGCATTGATAGATGGAAAAACTGTAACAACTATGAAGAAAAGGACTTTACTCAACAGTTGGGGGCAAAATATAAGCACTTTTGAGTACAAACTAAATTGGTGTGGCCTCAACATATTTATACAAACAGGTTGCACAATTCAGTCATTGCCTCCTTTTTATTCAGTATCAATTTCTAACATTGATGTTTCTATACTCAGTATCATGGTCTGTATAAATAAAGCTTTAAAGAAAATAAGTTTCCCATACAAAAATTTTGAAACCTTATATACCAGTATGTACAAAATATGAATAACTATAATATTCTGAAGCCTTATTATAAAGTTTCACCATTAAATAAAACCATCCCAGCTGTCATTTTTAATCCTCACAGCATATAGAACTGTGTGAAATGTTCCCCTTTTGCAATACACATAAGTAGCAGGGAAAGA